AATATGACTAGGTCTCAGATATAAGTATCAGTGTTGTGGGAGGGAAAGACTGTCTCCAGCAGTTTTTCTCATATGAGTTGGGAGGAAACAATTTAGGTGTGGGGCTTGTGACTCAGACTGAAGTGGGAAGGAGAAGTAAAATGGGCTAATGACTGAGCAAGTGAACAGATGATCAGGAAATAAGATCTGCAACTGTCTTTACTCATGTATGACAGGTGTCTGGTAATCTCAATCTCTTTAAATGATTTTTGACTACTGGCTGAGATCTAATAATAGCTCTGGTTCCTTTAAAAGTTACAAAGAGGTGTGGAAAGAAGGCATCAGATGTCATAAAGGCAGTGAGCAAAGCTGAGAGAATGCTCCGGCAGGAAATTGAAAAGTGTCTTCATTCTTGTTCTTCCTACACCTCTAACATTGGTTGTTGGCATCAACAAACTGCTTGGTGCTGTGGAACACCAAGTTGTACAGTCTGCACCTAGAGGGCTTGCAGTCTGAATCTGATAGGAGAGGACATGAGGACGGATCAGTGAGAGAAGGAAGGGGATGATGAAAATGTAGAGCTTAAAGTGAGCCAGGAAAGGCTTTTATATGGAAAAAGTCATTGAAATCAGTGATTGGAAGGAAGGGAGAGAGAGAGAAAAGGCTCTCACTAATGAAGACAGTAAAAGAAGGGGCATGGATCCTGTGAGCATTTAGGAGGTACATGAAGAAAAGCATTTTCTCCATGTTTTTTTCTTGGGGTTGGAATATATTAAATATATTATATATTTAATATATTTAATAAATATATTAAATATATTAAAACTAACCCTCACTGCTTTAAGAACATGAATGGCTTTAGTACAGTTTGCTATACAGTATTTATGACAGTTAATTGAATATTTATTTTTAGCCTGATAAATGCATTATTCAGACAATAACTGGGAAAATACGTAGGCCAGCGTCCAAATAACTGTGACACTAGTTACATGAGTCAAAGGGAACTACAGTGGTACCTCGGGTTACATATGCTTCAGGTTACATACGCTTCAGGTTACAGACTCCGCTAACCCAGAAATAGTACCTCAGGTTAAGAACTTTGCTTCAGGATGAGAACAGAAATTGTGCTCTGGCGGCGAGGCAGCAGCAGGAGGCCCTATTAGCTAAAGTGGTGCTTCAGGTTAAGAACAGTTTCAGGTTAAGAACGGAGCTCCGGAACGAATTAAGTACTTAACCCGAGGTACCAATGTATAGACTTCTTTCCTTCAATATCAGTCTCCTTGCCACAAGGAAGACTGTTTGTGAAACCAAGGGGACTTTCCAAAACAGTTCATGACCTGTGTGAGAGTCACTGTTCAGATATAAGACACAAATCCACTGGGCCTGGCACAAGTGCTATGAGGAAAAGCAGCTCTTTTGAGTCCGAGACTCAGTGTCAGATATGGAGCTACAAGTTATTGCAACTCACAGTATCTTAAGTATATCTTAGCTTTTGTTGTTAACACTGTAACAAAACAAAAAATAAGTTTTTACTTCTTAGTCTCAGGGTGCAAACTAATGCACACTTACTGCATCTGAGCATAAGCTCCATTGAAGTCAATAGGACTTATCTCTGAGTAGACAAGAACTGTTTGAAACTGTTTGAGGACTCTTTGAGACAGGCCTGGGAAGCAAATATCCTGTTGATGTAACTTAAGAAATAGCAATGGATCTGGGTATTCTAAAAATAATGAACACTTCTGCTATACTGAATCTGCAGTCCTAGGCTCATTAGGGAATGAGCCCCATAGAACATGGTGAGACTTATTTTGTGTAAACATATTTACCGTAGATTGTGCTGCTGTTCAGACTTGCAGCCTGATCCTTTATAGAAGTAATAGTCAATGCCTGACATTTAACAGTGTCCATCCATCAGTGAATGAGTTTCCCTTCCCCTCCTCTCCCCTTCAGCTAAAGCTTATTTCTCTAGACAAAACCATTGTCTGAAACATAATTCATAGCCTGAAATACTGAAGTTTCATTTTAAACTTCATGGACATCAGAAAAAGGTTTATATGAATTGAAACAGGTTTTCCACAATTAATGTGCCTTGCTTTTGTGTGGGTAGTTTTCAGACATTCATGTCCCTTGATTCAGAAGATGGAGGAAGCAAGAGAATTCATACCACGTTGTCTAAACATTGCAGGAGTGATGTGCTTGGCAGATTCCCAGATCACAATTCTGCACCAAATAGCTGAAGATATTCTGTATTTTTTGATACCAATCCAAGGTTACTTGTTTAGTAATGCAGCCAAACACAATCTCACTGTTATCAACACTATCATTACTATATTTGCATCTTGTAGTGAACTGATTTGTAGTGGCATGAAATTGCTGCAGAGCAAGGTTATCTGGAGTTTTGGAGTATGTTGTCAGCAACTTGCTGATGACACACAGATCTACTCCTCCTTACTGCAGGTGTAGCAGTGGATGTGCTGGACTGTTGTCTTGTCTCGGTAATAGACTGGATGACAGCCAACAAACTGAAGCTCAGTCCAGACAAGACTGAGGCACTGTTGGTGGGTGCTTCCCTAGACCAGATGGATAGGATGTTGCCTGCTCTTGATGGGGTTGGTTATGCCCCCTCTGAAAGGGGTATGTAGCTTTGGGGGCACTCCTGGATCCTTTGCTTGAGGTTCAGGTGGCCTCAGTGGCACGGAGTGCCTTCCATCAGCTTCAGCTGGTGGCCCAGCTGTGCTCCTATCTGGACAGGGATAGCCTAAATTCTGTTGTTTCCAGGCCCAGTTCAAAGTCTTGGTTTTGATCTATAAAGCCTTAAACAGCTCAGGGCCACCTCTCCCCATATGAACGGATCCAGACCCTGCAATCATCATGTGAGGATATCTTGTGTGTGCCTCTTCCACAAGAGGATGGCAACAGGAGAACAGGTCTTTTCTGCGGTGGCTCCCTGTTTGTGGAATTCCCTCCCCAGGGGCGCTTGCCTGCATTGCAGGGGGTTGGATTAGATTACCCTTGGGGTAATGTTAGAAACTGAGATAGAAAAGCTAGGAGCCAAATGGCTTCTGAGACCTGGGCTGTGGGTGCCAAAACAGAATATCTAGTTGGCTCTTGGGGGTGACAACACTTTTTATTATTTTGATAAGCAGGAACTAATACACAATTCACATAAGTGACACATTTTTAGCAGAAATTGTTAATACATGTATAATTTGGTGTTTACAATAAAAATATTGGTACCATACTTCAGTTTTCAAAGCGCTCTACTCCTTAACATATTGTATACTTCAAGGCTTCAAAGCACATACTGTATTTTTCGCTCTATAACACGCACCTGACCATAACACGCACATCGTTTTTAGAGGAGGAAAACAAGGGAAAAAACATTCTGAATGAAACAGTGGATGTATCATTTTTGTGCTTCATGCTGTGGCCACAGACATGTGATCTGATGGTGAATTTGGGGTGACCCAATGCAAAGATCCAGAGGATCCATGTGGATCCATGCTTTTTAACCACGTTTCTGCACCATTGCAGCCCCAGGCAACAGTGGGTGCGTGATTTTTGGGGGGCAGGCTCTAGCCATGGACATGCTATGTGATCTGATGGTGAATTTGGGGTGACCCAATGCAAAGATCCTGAGGATCCATGTGGATCTATGCTTTGTAACCACGTTTTTGCACCATTGCAGCCCCAGGCAACAGTGGGTGTGTGATTTTTGGGGGGCAGGCTGTAGCCATGGACATGCTATGTGATCTGATGCTGAATTTGGGGTGACCCAATGCAAAGATCCTGAGGATCCATGTGGATCTATGGTTTGTAACCACATTTTAAGTGGGGAGGGAAGGAAAAACAAAGAAGGGAAAAGGAGCATGAGAGGGGTGTGCAGAGAAGCAGCTGGCTAAGAATGCAGGAGAGGGATTTAACGGGAGGGAGGAAAGAAAGGCAAAAGTTTTCCCCCACCCAAGCACCCAAACCAGCCAGCTCTCCTCTCTCTCTCTCTCCCCCCCCCACCTGCATGTTGCCTGCTGGTCCCTAGACGCAGCACCGGAGCACAGAGAGGAATTAGAAGGAACGACTCTGCTTTCCCCTCTGCTTGCCTGGAGGGGAGGGGCTTTCCCTGCTCTTTGTTCCGTTTGAGCAGACACAGCAACGAAACAGAGGAGGGTGGGCAGTAAGACCCTGAGGCAGAATGCAGGAAAGCAGCCACTTCCTCTTTTCAGGTTTCCCTTCTCCGTGACTCGCGATTTGATTTTTGTCTGATTTTTTGGCTCCAGGGACCACACATTCGCTCCATAACACGCACAGACATTTCCCCTTCCTTTTTAGGAGAAAAAATCTGCGTGTTATAGAGGGAAAAATGCGGTACATTTCAGTAATCCTTGAGTGTCAGCCAGTTGCAAAAAATGGCACTCAGACTTTTTGAGGTGCTCGCAAGTGGAGAACCTTTAGGTGTAAAATGCACCTGGCCCCCTGCTAATTTTGAACCCTGCCTTGGGGTCCTTTCCAAGTCCACAGTTCTATGATTTGTATATCTTTCGGTGCCAGGCAAAACATTTGGAAGTGGGGTTATTGGTTGTGTTTTTGTTTTATTATGTATTTTGTGTTTTCATTTTGTATTTTTATGTTGTGAACTGCCGTGTGATCTTTCCTGGTTATTTATTTTTCCTGCTGATAGAGACATCACAACATGATAGAATGATACTGCACTTCAACCTCATCTAAATATAGCAATATGAAACTAAATTTACTAAGTGATAGCTGGACCTGTTTGCTTACATAATGGAATATAGGAAGGGGAAGTGTTTGCAGTTCTTGGTGCTGGGTTAATACAGCGTGCCTGCTTCTTCAGACTTCTTGGTTTATTGATGTCTGATTGACCAGATGGGAAGTTAATACTCTGAGGGTTTGGTAAAATGTACTGGGAGGACAACAACTTGTATACTTCCTTTGTCCATGGATAGCTAACCTCTTGGAGGAATAGTATGTGTGTGTGTTCCAATTTGGTTTTCTCTCTCTTTCAGGAAACCCAGCGCTTGCTGGCAGAACCTGTTCCTGGAATAAAAGCAGAGCCAGATGAAAGCAACGCACGTTATTTTCATGTGGTCATTGCAGGCCCACAGGATTCTCCCTTTGAGGGTGGGACATTTAAACTTGAACTATTCCTTCCAGAAGAATATCCAATGGCAGCTCCGAAAGTACGTTTCATGACCAAAATTTATCATCCTAACGTAGACAAATTGGGAAGAATATGTTTAGATATTTTGAAAGGTAAGTATTTTGGAGCCATGATAAGCATGACATATCTTTCTCTTCCATGCATTTTTCAGATTATTAAAATAGTTGAAAGATTATTTCATATTTCAGTTATCTTTTAAGGGGTGTGTGTTTTGTATTTGAAATGTTGCTTTAGTACTCTCTAACTTGCTTCCTCAGACAAATGGTCTCCAGCTCTGCAGATCCGTACAGTTCTGCTATCAATCCAGGCTTTGTTAAGTGCTCCCAACCCAGATGATCCACTAGCAAATGATGTAGCTGAGCAGTGGAAGACCAATGAAGCCCAAGCCATAGAAACAGGTAGTGTGCCCTTACTCTAGACTAAAGAAAATTGAGTTATGTATAAAATTCTTGTCCTGCTTTTGATCCTAAATGCCTATGCCTAAAGTATCTTACAAAAATAAATCTTTGTAAGAATCACTCCAAGTCATACATACAATAACTCAAATACCGTAAATATAAAATACGTCCAGCCTTTTAAGTCTTGGGGACAAAAGAGATGCATTGTTAATGATGTGCATGCAATTTGTGCACATAGTTTTTGTTCTGTGAAGAAATTGCCATGGGGAGACTTCGCAAAGGGAGAAGGCACAGGGGAGGTTTAACAGTTTCTCTTCCTGTACAGTGCCAAGGAAAATTCCCTCTCCAAAGCTGCTATTTGCATTTCAAAGGTCACATCTTGGCCATGTAACTTGTGCAGTCTTGGAAGCCTACTTTCTAGTCTATGAGTGCGGGCATCATCATGGGCTGATGGCCAAGTCTGACCTCTAGTTGACTTTTTCAGTTTTCTTGTATGAGTGTGTACATAGATTTATGTGTGGAAATTATCAAGTGAGAAACCTATTGGTTGATAAGTTGTCTATTGTAAGCAGGTACTGCCTTTGCATCTGATGTGCATAAGAGTCACACAATCAATGTACCATATGTTGGTTGTAAGTGTCGCATTATTGATGTGAATTTGTAAATGCCTCTATAGCTCTATAAAGATGAGGGTGCAAAACTATGGAACATTTGGCACTTGATTCATTTTATTATATGTAGTCCTCAGGAATAGCCAGTATTCTAACGAGTTTTGGGCAAGAAAGGTGGGAGGGAGTAGAGAATTCTGAAGTTAGATGCTTTGTTGTCTAATACATATTTCTTTTCTCTTTTCAGCCAGAGCATGGACTAGGCTATATGCCATGAATAATATTTAAAATGTGCTCTGAATCAGTGTGCATCACTTTTTCCTGTTCTGCCAAGACCTCTTCCTTTTTTCTTTTTTTTTCTTTTTGTTTGCATTTAATGGACACAGTCTTAGAAAACATTACAGAATAAAACCCAGACATCAGTTCTTTGGTGATTTAAATGCATACTAGCAAATCTGTGTCTTGTCCTAATTCACTCCTGTTCCGCATGAGCAGAGGCTAGAAGTATCATCGGGATTGTTTGTGAAATTGTTTAAAAGCAGTAGCACATCTCTGCTTTTAATAAGTTTTCCCCATCATGAGTTAAGTGTAAGCACTGTGAATGAAAGTAGTCAGGGTTAGCTGCAGGGATTTTTGTTCTAATTGTGTGGGCTCTTCCTCCCTTTTTTATGGTGATGCTAATTGTATCGGTTAAAGCAGCTAACCAGTTATACTCTAGAATATGCCCTCTAGCCAAGTCTAACTTAGACGCTGTAGATGGACAAGCTTGGCTGTTTGAACAAAAATGGGAACATTAAACATCCATCACTAATAATATTGTGATTCTGCTGTCAAGTGTAAAAACCCTCCCTTCAAGAAAAGAAAAAAAAGCTTGTGACCATTTTGTATGGCTTGTCTGAAAAATCTTCTGTAAATCTTATGTTTTAGTAAAATATTTTGTTATTCTACTTTGCCTTTGTACAGTTTGTTTTGCTGTGTTCTTTTGTTCACTTTTCAATTGTGACAATCATTTTTTTTTAAATGAAGCCTGATTAGAACACTTTGATTTTCATCAACCTAACAGCTGTAGTGAAATATTGGATTTCCCCCCTCTCGACCTGTATTCATAGGCCATGCCACATTAGTGTTCATAATATTTCTTTTGTTTTTAAAAAGCCTCTGATAAATGTAATTGTTATCAGAGTCGGTTAGATGCATCATTAATGTGTTTGTACTTGCAAAGTTAAGTACCACTGAAGCAGGAAGCTAGCAAAACAAACAGTAATTTTGGGTGTATGTGTACCTTGTCTGTCTTGTGCTACGTATTATCCAGTATCGGAATACATTTTAAAATAACTTGGATCTTAAAAATAAATAAATAAATCCTCTGCATAAAATGAGATGTTAACAGTGCAGGTCAATTGGTTGCTAAGGTATTTACAATTAGGCTTCTTAGCTCTGGCTGTAACTGCAGTCTTTAAGCTACTACTTTCTTGACCCATTTCTTCATTTGAAGATGGAAACTTCTTATTTCTTAAGATATCACGCAAAAATGTAAATAACTCATGGGAGCATATTTTGATCCCAACTTCTAACTTCTGTATTTCTCAAAATTTCTTTTCTTTTCTTACCCTACTTCTTTGCCTTGACCACCTTTCTGATATCTCTGCTTTCCATGTGGCCAGTGTAATGCCAGCTTGGCATGGGTAATGTCTGTCTTGCAGTTTGGGGGGTGGGGGGAAACAGTATTGAGGTCCATAATTTTCTGCCCATCATACCTATTCTAGCATCATCTGGGGTTTCTATAGAATGTGGTGTATGTATTGTGCTCTTATGTAAGATAAAGAATATCTATTAAAATCACATTTTCAACAGACAAAAATGCTTTTAGTGATGGTATTGTCAGAGTTGACTGCATTATAGCATGATAAAAGGCTGATAATCTGCTTCAACAAGAGAGAGCATCTCAAAAAATGTTTCTAGTTGAAATTCATTTTTAGATTGTTTCTGGGCTTCTAGCTAGTCCTTGTCAACTACCAATGAATAGCACCACTGTCTGCCGTAGTAGAGAACTGATTGTGTTATTCTTCTCTAACACTTGACGAGCGTTTAAGTTCTCATATGTCAATGACTAGAATGAACATAACCACATGCATAGTGGTATAATCTCTGACTACTCAAAAACAAGTCCCACTCAGTTTAATAAAAGTTATATTTAAAAAATGCTTATGTTTGCAGCTGTAGTAGTTTTTTTAAAGAAACTTGAATACCTGCATAGCAAATGGCTTTTAAATGCTGCTACCATGATATTATTTTTTTTTTTAAAAAAAGACCAGACATCGTAAACTCTGGCTCTCTGTATGTCACATTCTGGAATAAAACCAATGGAAAAAATACCATAAAACCTGTTAAAAATGGTACACAGTAGCTGAAGTCAAGTACATATGGCAACTATACGGTTGGAATGTTACTTAATGTTCAAACATAGGGCATAATTTAGCAAGAGCTATACAAATTCCAATGGGTTACAGCTTAATCTAAATATTTTTATTTGCTGTAAATCCCACTGAATTCAATTCTGCATGAGTGCACATAGGATTGTAGCTTTGAACACATGCTATATTTCTCCTATTGAAATAAATGGGCATGGGAGGCGCTTAACTTTGGACTGTGTCCTTTCCAGCCCTGCATATGTGGTAAATGTCTTTAAATGTGTACAAATAACTGTTGAATCTATGCTGTGCACTAGAGAGGTGTGTACACTCAAATTTGAGGATTTCTCATCAGTTGCCCATGGAACTGTGTTGAAACACCTTGTGTTGAAATCTTACTAAGTTTAAAATAGGGAGTTGGTGCAAAGCAGATGTATATGCATTTGTAAACTAGGCATGCTAATTTTTTTCCATGTGTGCATTGAAAAACAGCTCTTGTGCCAAAACTTGGGAGTTTAGGCATTCCTTTAGAACTGCAATTAAGGAGTAAAATATCCAAAAAGCCCCTCTGTGTTCTGGCTCTAAATGTTGAGAGCAGTAATTAAAGTAACTACAAGGGTTGGTTTTGAATTTCCATTTTCCACCTGAATCTTTCTCCTAATGAAGTGTAAACATTAAGAACTAGACTTTTATCCCTTAAAAAAAAAGGTCAAGGAATGTGGCTAAAGAGTCACTGAAGGTACTTGAATCTGTGTTTGATTGAACTAACAACTTTTATCTGTAAAGGAGTTCTAAAAAGACTATCAACAATAAATAGGTCATCTTGTTTGGTACATCTCAGCTGGTTGGAATTGTCCCACTGTATGATACTAATAAACCAAGTAGAATTATTTACGTATGTTTGCTTTATGATAGGGCTAGGTAGAAAGATGGGGTTCCTTTACTGAATTACAGTACAGGTGTTTCATATTAATCTTGGTGCTAATAAATATTCAGGCCAGTTATCTGGCATTTGTACTGATGTATGAAGCCTTGGCTTAAATTAAAACCATGTTCACGATAACTCTTTTTCCTTTAGCTGATAAAAATATAGTTATTGTGTGTGTTCTTGAAAGAAGGAAGACCCCAGTGACAAATAAATCCATGCTTTGCATGGGTAGTTTTACAAGAGTAAACATATTGAATATCAAGTGTAATTATGGCCTAAAATAATGTGGATGTTATGCTTTTAAATGAAGCATATGCCCAGCAAATTATGGTTACTGTAAAATCTTCAGGTCTAATACGGTTAGAAATCATGTATATCTGAGTGTAATGTACATTCCTCCTATGTTCAGGATTATTTTTTAAATGCCTGATAGGTTCTGTTTAACATCTTCTGACTGTAATGTTATGACACTGAATAAAAGGAAGAGTGATTATTCATTATACAGTGAGCTTCTCATTTTAAAGATTGGTATTCGCACAGTAAATTTTCAAGCATATTTGTACAATGGGGGGAAAAAGCAGGTTACCAAATAACCTTTCCCCTCGCGAGAAAAACTTTCCATGTGACAAGAAAGAAGTCCTATCCTTTTCAGAAAGCACACTGGTTCATATTGAAGTTTTAGTGGCCCAAAAATGTTTCCCTATTTTGTTTAGGATACTTCTATTGTGCCATCAGCAAAGTTTAAAATCAAGTGCACCTAAGTACAAATACAGAAATGCAAGCTAGAAGTGCAAAATTAAAGTTACCTCAAAAAAGTACATAAATTTAAGCTGAACAATAACAAATCCTGAGACTCCACGAAGTTCTTTGCTTTGTAACAGAAATCCACCAGAGTGGGTGCCAGCTGAGGCTTTGGGGGGATAGCATTCCAAAGTTGGCATGATGGGAAAGTACCTCTTTCCCTATAGCCATCTGCTGCACCTCATGTGTTGGGAGTACAGAAGGTCTCTAAGAAAGGATTTGTTTGGTGCATTAAGATTCCGGAAAATGGAGAGCCTACTAGATCTTGGGAGTCCCTATTGACTATGCAGGATACAGCCAATGGAAGTTGGAGTCAAGTAATAAGTGGAGAGCAGCAGATTAGCCCTACCAGGTTGCAAGCCATAATGTAAAAGCTTTTTTAAAAGTCAAAACTTGGACTTGCAAATAAACCCAGAGCTAGTGCTCTTGCACAACGGTTAATGCACATACTGCTCAGTCTTCGCAATCTTTCACAGCTGTGTTCTAAACTCTGTAAGTTTCCCGATTATTTTTAAAGCTGAAGCTCAAGTATAATAGTCATTTAATTTTGAAGGTTACCAAAGCATGGGTAGCTGTTCAGATAGGGTCACAGCTGACATACCAACTGAGGTTGGCCACCTCAGTCTCTACTGGCAAAGCTTGAGTCAAGATCACCCCTTGGTCCTTCAGGTTTAGTACAACCCTATCCAGAAGAACAGAAGCTCTATTTTCTGGTATTGTGACTGGATTGTGAAACTCTTCCATTTAACAGCAACGTTGCTGGTCAAATGTCTTAAGTTTAGGAGTGACATGAGTATATAGAAATTGTTTATAAATTAAAAGACAAACATACACTCACCTTATTGTCTCAGTGGACTCCCAGTACCTGTGGGAGATTAAAATTGTAGACTCAACTCATTGCCTAGTGAGGGAAAGTTACAGGCTCACATAAGAGGCCAAGCACACTTCTGCTGTGCAGTTGCAGATACTTGCTTTTCTCCATTGTTTCCTTTCACACAGGAGGGGAAAAGTTCAGTGGAATGCTGAATGTATTAATTGGGAGATGTGGGAATGTCCTTGAGAGGAGTATGTGGGGTGGGCATCCATGCCGTGGTTTAAACATATTTGTTATTAACCCCTCCCCCTTTACTGGATAACATGCTTGTTCAGAGCTGCTAAGCAGTCCTTATTCTTTAAATCTGCTAACTGCAGATTTAGCAGAGTGAGGTAATGTATCAGGAGTGTGGAGAAGGGGGTGGGGAGGCATTCTCTGTGAGCCATGCATAGTGCTACAAGGTAAAGTGTGGTCCAGACTTATACAAGGCTTTGCTTCCACACTGGCTGGATCACTGAACAGACGCACTTGGGATAGACAACAACATGTTGTTGTGCATCCTAACATGTCAGAGGAAGCAGAGCAGAGAACAAGTGAGAGCAGGAGGTGGGGAGAAGTTACTAAGTTGCTCAAACCCAAGGTAGAAGTTTGCCATTTCAATGAAGATTGAGCCCTTCTCCCCCTAGTGGAGTGTTCATTGTTCTGAAAGGGATAGCCTCATACCCAGCAAGTGCAGCGGGTAGGGTTAAAGTAGACCAGGAGCAAAGAGATGGGGGCCTGAAATAACTGCCCCTTCAGGTACAAGAACAAGTATAGCATTTCCAGCATGTAGCTGATGTCAGAAATGGGTGTGAGAAGCCTAACCACGAAGCAGTATTTGTAAGCAAAATTCTCAAGTTTGTGGACACATCTACAAAATGAAACAACAGTCAGGGACATGGGAGGCAAGCAAGAGCGTTTCTTCTTGAGTAGCTTGGGCATACAGGCAATAGGCAGCAATTCTGTATAGGTTTATCTGAAAGTAAATCCCACTGAACGCCATGGGGTTCTTGGGGTGCAAAGCATGTTGTGTACCACTAAGATGTGGTCCCTGCCCTCAACTACAAGCACAGAAAAACTTCCAGGCCACAGAAGGAGGTAAAAGTCACTCATGTTTTATAAGTTTTCCAACACTGTTTTCTACTACAGACTTTGCAATACACTTGATTTGAATGAGCCACTCTCAAACACATGTTGAGTTGGAGACCACTGTTCCCAATACTTAAATCTGAATTTTATTGCTACATAAAGAAGCTACAGTCTTTGCAGATTGTGTTTCAATTTTTTTTTATTTTGGAGGATCATTTCAGATATAAAAAGTCAAAATTCTTACATCAATCTTTAAAAGAAAGCCATGCACACAGCTCAAAATGTTTACAACTTAACTTGTAGTTTTCCTTCAAACGTTTTACTTCTCAGAAGCATGTTGAGCATTTGTTCCAACATTTTGACAGTAGCCCTGGTTAGTCTGCAATAAGCACTCAGGATGGTATTTTTACTTTTAATAGCCTCTATAACCTACATAAATACTCTTGCAATGTTGGTATGGCATGTTCCCAATTAACTATTCACTGTAACAAACTCCCACTGTATTAAGTCAAGACCTGCCTATACTTCTCTGGTAATGACCTTCTGACTTTGCAAACCATGTCTTAAGATACTGAAGACATGGACTGCCCTGTGGAATCTGGTCCTAGTCAACTTTTATTTCCCTGCCTTGTGAAGCCAGCTACAGGTTCAAAGGTCACTTAGGGGGAACACTGGCCTAGTTCCACAAGAATGCTTCACTATATACTAATCCCTCAGCATTTTAATGTCAACCCTGAACCCCTTACTGGAGTTATTTGACTATGGTTTAATCTTGACAGAAGAGGTCCTAGCTGTTATTTGACACATTCATGCTGTCCGGTCTATTCTTCCAAATGACAGAAATAGACAATGTTTCTGTGTTCACTTGTCTATAAGTGAAAATGCAACAATGGCAGCTAAATAATACAGTGGACCTCTTGTCATTCCAGTGTTATGTTGCAAGACAGACTTTAGAAGTCAGTATGAATAAGGGGCTTTATCTGAAGTTGCATAGGCAGAAGAGATCTGTACACCAATATATTTAAAACTGTATGTGGCACAGCAGCCTGGAGTATTTATAAGCCATCACCTTTGATTTGGTTAGCACTGACAACTGTACATTTTTACATAACACATAAATGTTAGAAACCAAAGTATTCATGCACTACCAATATGTAGCTTCTCTACGCTTGGCTTGGTTTTATGTTCCAAAAGCAAAAGTTGAGATGAAAGCAGTTATAGTAACCAAAAACTAATTAAAATTGCTCTTACTTCCATCACTGTGATGAACAAGAGACATTTCTCATATTATCATCATCATGTGGTTAGTGATAACTGAATAAGAGTGTGGGGTTGAAGTGCTGACTTAGGAATCAGGAAAAATGCATACTTGTTAACTAGCCATTTCCTTAATCTGATTAGTGTACAAGGTTTCACATTGATGGGTCTGCCACCAGTCTACTCTGAATGTTCTTTTGACCATCTGAATCAGAATATGGAAAGTAAGGCTCTTCAAGCACAAAACTGATGACATCTACGGCTCCACTCAAATTCTCTGAAGCCAGTAACTCCTGGAAGTTCAAACCTGAGCAAGATGTTGCAAGTCCATCTCCAGTTAATAGTACTTATGGCTCTTGAAGCAACACTCACAACCAAACCTCTTACTGATGTTCCTTGCTTAAATGCATTTCTATGGCACTATGTGTGATTCCCACATGTTTCTAGAAGGAAAGCATATGGCACCAATATTTTCCTTAAAAATTGTAACAGCATGTGGGTTAATTTATAGCAGCATTTTTACCCAATGTATTGGAAGTTAGTGTGTAAGTTTGCCACCTTTTTCTCAGACAGGATTCCTGTGCCTTTATCTGTTATGTGATGAGCAGGAACTCACTAGGTGAAGATTCAGTGAGTGAGCTATTAAAGTTTCTGCTGGTTACATAGCTATTAAGACACAGAAGTCCTAGGTAGTAACCTACTGGTGTGAGCAACAGAGTATTTACATTACCTTTTCTTTCCACTTTACACTATACACCAGTTGGATTATTTACAGTGGGTTTATGTTACATAGAAAGAATGAGAAGAGACAGTTTCATAATAGAGGTAGTTCTTTACCTCAACCACAGTAATGACTTGAGGGATCAAGGGAAAGTTCAGCGTACAGTAAATGCTTTTAGAGATTTCTGAAATTAGACTTCATATAATTTAGAGAATCTCTATAGCCATATTTTAGTTGCAAGCATTAAAACAGGATTAGAACCCCATTTAGTCTGCTTTTTTTCCTTAAAGCTCAGGACAGTTATCTTCCCAATAGTGATCCAAATCATGTGTTTTGGAAACAGGCTGGAAGAAGCTGGGATGGTCCCCAGTAGTGAATCAACACCTGCTGGAATAGCAAAGAAAGCCAAGGCTGACTTTGGCAAGAGGAGAGCAAGCAGGTTAAGGGGTTGGCATGTTAACATTTTTCTCGAATCTGCCTGTTTGGCTAATTGTAAGCAAGAGCAGTGTGAAGGATTGGCAGAGGCAGACAAGCTGGCACTACTCTGGTTAGGATTTGTAAGTGAAATATTTGGGGAGGACACTTCTTGACATAGAAGGCACTTCTTTGTTGGTTTCTACTGCCTTTTAACTTGTCCAACAAATTTTGTACTGAAGTAGGGAAATAAGGATGACTAAATTAAAAACAGTTTCCCAAAAATAGCATTTTTTGATTTTTAGGAAATTTAACAAAATTAAGCCAGACTCAAATGCCAAATTACAAATTCACTCCTGTTTTGTTTTTAATCAGGTTTTAAAAAGCCACAAAGAGGACCATTTAAGGCATCTTTTAGAATTCCCTGTATGGCTTTGGTTTGTTGAAATATTAAACATTGCTAAAAAGAAAGAAAGAATGTATATGTCTGAACATAAAGTGTTCACACACTCAATTTAAATGACTATACACATAGCACATGACCACTAACACATCTCCCCTTGTGATGGTGAACAAAAAAGTAGCTGAATTTTATCTTACAGTTGAGGGCAACCCAGAAGTCTGTGCAGGAGTAACATATAGAGAGTTGTTATCAGGATGGGAAGAAACCACAGAATTTCCATTGGTTGGTGAACATCCCAGTTTCAATTTTTCCAAGTACTCTGCATGTACTGGCTTGTGACACTGAAGGACCTTGATTGCATCTTCGACTTTAAACCACTCTCTTTTCCTTCCTACAACATGAAAAGAATAAATGTTTCAAATAGTGGACATTTTGAACCTTACAATCTGTCAACTTTAAAATGAAGTGGGCAAATGTGGCTGAAACATTCTAAAGAATCCCCCAGAGACCCACCCACTTAGTAGCGGCAAGCAGAATTGTGAAAAACAAGGGTATTAACTACAGACATCCAAGATCTTCAACTCTGTTCATAAAATTCCTAAGTTGGTCTTATGATGTTAGGTGCTGAATAAGGATCATGAACATTTGGAGCTATAAATAAAGGCTTCTAATTACCACAGTTGGCTGAATGGTTCACTGTGAGACTAACAGGCTGGTGTCTACTTTTATTAATGTATTATGTTAATTATGTGCAAATTAACATGAAAGTTAGTTTGTCCATCTGTTCCCTTGCCAACAAGCAATAGCCTGCTTTTTATCTACTATCTTACCCTGTTCTGATTCATTAGAAGTATATGGCATTCTGAATATTACTTATTATCCCAAGTTCTTTCAACCAATTAGTAGTTTAAAGTATCTGTAAAAACAGCATGCCATGGAGTGTCAAACTGGAATCAAACACAAAATTTATCTACTTCCATAAATTATTTTATTAATGCTATTAGAGCAGTGGCCAATTAGTGATAAAAGAAAATGGTGCTGGCTGCTCTTGAGTTATCCTTTGAACCTTTTTAGTACACCTCTAATTTTAATAACTTGCAGCATCATGCTTCTTGAACACCAGTTGTGTGAAAGCTGTCCTAAAAATAGCATGGTTCTGATACTGCATTACACACTTAGCACATGCAGGGTTGAAAATGTCTTGCCTATATTAACCGAATCCTCCCAGTCTTCCAGGATTTCAGTCACTGTAAGAACATAAACATAAGTCCTATGTTTCCGGTCTTGATTCTGCTTCAGTAGGAAGAAGAGAGAACAGACATATTAATTCACACTTGCAACATTAGATAGCTATTTACTTAGAATCACTTATATACTATCTTTCCACTATAATATAGCCCTCATGGTGCCTAAAATTCAAACACTGCAACCAAGATCATTTAAAAATACAATGGTACACATACAAATTCAATAGTTTAAATGGGGGGGGGGAATGTAAATTAGAACTGTTTTTTAAAAAAGCCAATGGAAAAACAAGTGAAAAGCAAATGTATACTGTTGGTAGCAGTACAGAAACATGTCAGTCTTCTAAGAGGCAGCTATGAGTTCTCTTGGCAAAGCTTTACCTCTCATTTAAATTGGAGCCAGTTGAGGCATGTGTGAGTGTCTGGAGACAGTTGGAGGATGGATGGCAGTTAACAGATTCAGCTTGAATCCTGACAAGATGGAAGTACTGTTTCTGGGGGACTCCCTAGTCCTGAATGGGGTAACTGTGCCTCTGAAGGACCAGGTACACAGCCTGGGGGTCATTTTGGACTCACAGCTGTCCACGGAGGCGCAGGTCAATTCTGTGTCCAGGGAACCTGTCTACCAACTGCATCTGGTACACCAGCTGAGACCCTGCCTTCCTGCCCAATGTCTCACCAGACTGAGACATGGTCTGGTTATTTCCTATTTGGATTACTGCAATACACTCTACCTTTGAAGGTGACTCAGAAACTACAATTAACCCAGAATGTGCTTGCTAGACTGGTGACTGGGAGCAGCCACCGGGACCACAACACCAGTCCTAAAACATCTACATTGGCTCCCAGTACGTTTTTGAGCACAATTCGAAGTGTTGGTATTGACCTTTAAAGTCCTAAATGGCTTCAGACCTGTATACGTGAAGAAGCATCTATGCCCCCATTATTCAGCCTGGACTCTGAAGAAGCCCTTCTGGCAGCTCTCTCATTGTGGAAAGTGAAGTTACCAGGAACCAGGCAGAGGGCCTTCTCAGTAGCCCCACCCCGTGGAACACCCTCCCATTAGATGTCAAAGAGATAAATAATTCTATGACCTTTCATAGACATCTGAAGGCAGCCCTGCACCAGGAAGCTTTTAATATGTGATGTTCTGTTGTGTTTTTGTATATTCTGTTGGAAGCCATCCACAGTGGCTGGGGCAACCCAGTCAGATGAGGTGGGGGTACAAAATCATAGTGATCATCATCATAATGAACTGTGATGTTAGAAACAGGGCTCCACTTTTTCTATCTGCATATCTTTCATTATGAACTGCGGATTTACAGCATCTATCCAGGAGTTAAACTAACATTCTCTGTTCACTGCTTGAAAACTAGAACTATACAAACACCCCAATCCTAATCACATTTCCTTTCAAATCTTTGTTGCATTCATTAGGTCAGTCACTTTGCAGACCAGCAAAAATGGGATCCTAGAGACAATTCTTATTCTACTATATTTTCACCCATTATGCAGGTACTGGATAGTGTCCCCATCACAATCAGCACAATTTACTGAATCAGCTCCTTTTAATATCTTCTCTACTTATAAATATTTTGTACATGAATGCCAATATTTTTCTATTCCCAAACCTGACTTATTTATATATGAAGTGTAGAAGGTATTCAAATTATCAGTCCTTAATTAAAATACCGGTTTTCCAAGATTCCACCCCTTCCGTATTAGAAATGCAAACTACATTTCACAGCATGTACATCACAGAATATATATTTTTAAACAGCTCACCTCAAATATTCCCAGCAATCTGCCTAGTTTTCCCTTTACTCCAGCCTGCAAGGAATAAAGATAATCAGATATTTTCCCCACAAGCAATCGTTCTTACGGATTCATTACAATATTCGAAACCAATGTTTAATTTACCAGCATGTCCAATAATGGTTTCATGATCTATTAAATCTGTGCACTAGCCAGAGTCTCTTTAGTTTTCCTGAAAGCTAAGGAGCAGGGAGCACATTTTTCTGATTATCAATTTTTTTCAGACACACAACTAAATTTGAGAAGCTTCTAATAGAGCATCTGCTTTTCTTTCTTTTACAGAGTTTACAGTTAGGAAGCATGTGAGTAATAAAGCAAAAAGTGTGTAGGAATTTAGCATACTTAAATAATGTAGCTAGTTCCATTCTGTCTCCCACTTTTTAAAAAACTTTTATATTAATGATTTGGGGCTATATTTAGCCAATGCAAACTCCCCCACTCTGGTAATTAGGAACAGAAATATCTGCATCTTGATGAATGCACATGATTTAGCGCTCCTCTCTTTCCAGATTGGGCCTCAAACATCTCTTAGAGGTGCTCAGCACATACTGTAAACTATTTCCTAGCTGAGATTTAAAACTTCTAAGATTATCCATACATTCAAACAAAGAATATTTCATTCTGTGGTAAGTACTTCTTAAGTAGCACATCCTGGAAATTTCAGTTTATTTATTTGATTCACTACCTGCCATAAGATTACAAGGAGCAATTTAGAAATGCATTTTTAAGAACAGTTTAAAATAAATTACAGGCACAAGAATAGGGTGAGTCCTATAAATATCTAACTCAAAGGCCAGAGTGAAGAGGGGCCTCTTCAAGCAAACAACAGGAACTATGTAAGGAAGGTGTCAGACACATATAATGAAGGTGTCCCTCCTCTGTGGGGAGGGAATTCCACAACTTAAGGGCTGCCTCTCCTGTACCAACACACAAATGTCTGATGGCTGTGGAATTATCAAGATTAGAAGAAACTGTAGCCCGGAAAACAACTCTAACCATGCAATAAAGCAGAAGAGTCCTGTGTGGTCTCAAGTGTTTGGCAGACCCAGCTGATAGGCATCTGTTGGAAAGTGTTTCATTTAAATTAGGAACAATTCAATTATTTCAGTAAGCTATTATCTTTATAGCCAGCATCTCATGAACACGAGGATGGCTACTGTCATTTATAACAGGTCTGCCACATGCCTGTCCTAGGAGGGGAGTAGCCCTTGTCTATGTGGCTCTCAGTTAAGTTTGCTTAAATGAGTCATCTGTTAAAATTCAGAGAATGCATATCCATACAGCATTTCAAGCTGAGCGTTCTAAATTCTTTACCTCTTCATAGACTTCTCTGACAGCAGCACCACCAGGTTCCTCTTCTGGTTCCATTCCTCCACCTGGAACAATCCACTGATCTGGGTACCGGCTGCTACTTACTAAAAGAACCTGCAAAGAAAAAGATTTTCTTATGACTGTGTGAATTAAAACTCAGTGAGACTTCATGAAACCAGACTGATATTTTGTGAAGTTAACAAAATGTTTAAGTCAGCCAACAATATCAAATATATGTTAACAGATCCAAGCTTGGGTGACAGGCTATAAAGCTCAAGAATTCTGCACTCCTTCCCTTGCATCAAACTTTTATATACATATTAAAGTCAGACAATATGTCAAGTTTTGAGTATGCTTTCCTGGATGTTTCCATATTTGGTTCACACTCAACTTACTGCAAGACTGTCAGTTTTAATAAAATATGACCCAATTAAGTTACCCAAAAAATAAAATAGCTGTCTATTCAAAGCATTTCAGACACGACTGCAAATGTTTTAATAAGTAGAAGGACAGTAACAATGGAAGCAGAACCCAATTCAGAACATCAAAATAATGTTCTTGGAGAAACCCAGACCAAGATGACAACTTATTCAGGCCAATACAGACTGCATTAGATACCCAATTCCTCTGTCTCTACAGTGGAAGTCCAAAGCCCATTCTGGACATGAAAATCTGTGTATGCACCAGTGAGTTAATGCGCACACAGGTTGAAGAAACCTAATACTTTCCATGTGCACTTTTGTGCACATTCTTGTGCTTTCAACTGAACTCAGTGGGTTACTTTTTTTAAAGAAAAAGTGTGTCATGACCAGCCTCACTAGCAGCCCACAAAGGATTGCTTCCATCCTAGTGCTGAGGGCAGTTTCAGCCACACATTCTACAGTAAAATGCAAGGGTTTAGATGCAGAACCATTACCTTTCCTATTATATTAAAACATTAAACACAAGGAAGCTAGACTGTGATTCAACAAAGTAAATACAAATCTGTACAGGCTTCTTGGATTCTTACAATTCAAAGCAACTAATTGTTTAGATTCCATACTTTAGTCTTATGAAGTTTACATTGGTTGGAAAGCCAAGCCAAGAAATAAATATGAGAGGCATTCTCCTGCACTTTCTAATGTAGCCGCCACAAGGAAGACGGAAAGCATATTAAACTGGATTTAATTTTTATGGAATAGCTAAGGGCTCTTTCACACTTCCACTTGCCCTGTGTTTTCTAGGCAAAGGTCTGGGTGGTTCTGCTTTGGCCTGCCACTTTCAACCAGAAAACCCACCCTTTAGCACTAAAGCGGACAAAAGGCAATCTGCAGAAAACCCAATTGCTGTTTTCCTGGGGAAAGCGGCAGAACAAGTAGAAGTGTGGAAGAACCCTGTGACTCAAATGCATTTGCCTTACATACTACAGTATTTCAGAATTTTAGATAGAATTTAACTGTTTTTAGCTGTGTGTGTTTTTAGGTATCTTGAATGTTTTGTGCTCTAGCTATGAACTGAGGATACCAATTTCCTTTCAGTGAAGGAACTAAGTGTTTTCCATAGTCATGTGAGCAACCACCAACAATTATGAACACCATTATTCTTCTGTTTCAAAACACTCGGCTTAGTGAAATTGTTTCAATCAGCATTTACATTGATCACAGGCCTGAACAGAGATCCCAGTTACTAGTGCAGGGAGGAAGGAGTCATTGTTTGTCCTGTCTGGAGCTTAAATACATGGCTTTGTACCATTACATAAGATTCAGAGCCATGACATATCATAACATGACAGTGTTTTGAATTACGGACCCTAGCATTAGTGAAGAAAATGCATGTGTTTACAACTGAAGTATTTATATTAAATAAACTGAATGTAATCCAAAGCGTTTCAGAACACATGTCGGATTCATTAGATACAGATCAAATTCTACAAGATAAATATACCATGCTATCATATACTCATTTTTCTTTTAAAAAAAAATACAAGATTCATAATGATGTTAGAACTGAATAATCCCCTTACTTTCTTATATAGGAGAAATAAACATGATTGATCCAGGATAATTTGGGAGTCTCTCAATAGTCTTGCTTTCCTACAAATCAATACAGTTGGGAAGATTACCCTCCAGAAAAGTATGGTCCAATCACAACAAATTTCCACAAAGGCTATTCGCATTCACCATGACACTTATTTATTGTGCTGAGACCTATTATAGACATTTTCCAACTCATCGAAGTGCCATCACTGGTTCTTAGAACAGTGCTGGAGATTCTCTGACTTGCGGCCCACCAGACCTCTGAATAAAGCATGAGAGGCCATTTGCTCACATGTCAGTCACCGGATGTCAGGTGTGGAGATCTGTTCTCTCTTATGTAATCTATGGGATAAGCCTGTGTTTGACAATAAAAGCCAGTATTTCCACCCACCTAGAAGGTATTTGCTTGCAATCCCAGCTTGAATTCAAGCCAGGGCTGTGAAAGAAAAATCTTCCTTTGGAGCTGCTGTTTGAACTTTGATTCACCTGACATCATATGACTCAAGGGGTTGACAGGTCAGTGCCCTGCCCACCTGCCAAATGCCCCAGAGAAGATGGGTCAAATCTGGACCCTCCATCCAGATCTAATTCCTCACCCCCGTCTTAGATTTACAACCAAGAAGGTATGCCCAGAGGAAATAAAGTAGGAATAGTGCTATGTGTACTAATGCATTGAACAACGCTATTCCTGTCCACCTGCATTCTTTTGCCATACTCACAGATACCAATCTATTGTATTCTACCTTGTGCATCAACAAACAACCTTGGCAGATGCGCCCAATGCTTTTATCAAAACTCCAGATTTCTTTCAAGGCTTAATGAAAATGTCAAGAAACCTGATTGCTATTGCTTGGGAGCAAACAGCAGCCACAGCACTGGGTTCTTCCAAACTGATAGTTCCTAGTGCTGATCAAACATGGCAATTCTGCATGCAGATTAAATCAAAGAACACTTTTCCACACCTCAGGGTGGAAGCAGGATGTATGCACATAAAAAGTGGTGTGTTCCATTCACACTAGCAAGCATAACACAGCTAAGAGAGAGCACATTTCTGTTTGGGTGCTAAAGTGCTTTTTAGTTTATTTAGGCATTTCAATCTCACATTTGGCTATGAAAATCCCCCAAGACAACTCACAACAGAGCAAAAACATAAAATATCTAATCATCTTCTTGCACAACTGTCAAGATTGTTTTAAAATGGGAGGCAACTCCCAGCAGCAGATCCCACAATATGTTCCTCCAAAGTTCTGGAGTGCTCAAACAAATCCTTGCTTCATTCTCTCTTCAGCAGCCAACTTGTCCAGCCAGGCAAATTCTAAGCATCATCAGCCATGCCTGATAATGTCTTGGAAGAGTCATTTCCTTGCTCAGTATTTAAACACTATCACATGTTCTACTGCACATTTATTTATTTATTTATTTATTTATTCATACATACACATATGGTGAGAAAAATGGCATTCTAGACTAAATTAAATATTAAGAACATACCAATAAAACGGTGCTGGCAGAATTATGAAGATGTGCAGGCAAGCCTTTTGACACACAAAGCTCACCTTTGTTAGAAAGAAGTTGGAGCTACTGTTCTGCCCTTTCTAAAGAACAGTGATTTGATGGCACAATGTATACTTCCCGTAAAAATAAGTAAACAAAGTGTGACTACTCCAGGGCAAAAATCATGTCTTTAGCTTATTGACGTTTAGCAGGTCTACACTGATCATGCTCACTTCTAACAAGAAAAAGTCTTAAAGTGAAGGAAGACGTTAAAGAAGGAAATTAGAAAAGAGACAGCTAATAGCATTGGTAGCTTAAGGCTGTTCAGGTCTCTTTTATGAACAGTACAGTCCCTCTTAACTTTGCTGGGCAGCTGACAGACCAACAAGAAGTTCTTTCTGCAGCTACTAAATGTTGCTGGAGAGGTTTCAGTAACTATAACAAGGATGCCAAAGCAACTGACTGACTGCAGGGTTACTCCCCCACAAAACACCTTTTTTCACCCGTTTCAGTGTGCAAGTCATTAGGTATTCACTTGAGCCAGAGTCCACCTGACTGGTCTTGAACCAAAGTGGACTGTGTGACTGACAGACTCACCTTTGTAAGCTAAATGTTAAGAAACTATTTCGAGTTCCATGTATCCACTGTCAAAATGTTCCATTTTTTCAGCCAAGGCAAGGACAGTGCAGAAAGGTCATTTACACTGCTTTTACCAATGTTGGCTATCATATGTTTGTAGACAGGAATGAAAAAGGCAACTTTTCAGCACCATTCTCCCTCTGGACAATAAAGAGTACTATGTTGTAACTTGAAATATGAAGGAAGAACCCTAGAGGCTGCCAGCTTACCACATGGCTTTGTCCCATTTCAGCTGAGAGTTAAGTTGTAAGTACTCCTTTTTCTATATTAAGCATTTTTTATTATATAGGAAATAGATTTTTAGTCATTACAACTTCTGTGTGAGGACTAACTTTCATCAAGAGAACTTACAGACCAGAACAGCCCCACTTCAAGAAGAAAAAAAGCTATTTGAATTGTATCAAATGTACGAGATGCCAACTCTCTCTTCATTACTGGAAGCAATTAAGACCCTGCAGAGGCTAATTGAAAGTCACAAACAGTCTCTACCAACTGACAGTATAACGGCATGCTAGTATATAAGCATAAACTGTTACACAGAAATGAACATGTAACAGGCACTTGTAAAAGACAGGATTACTGCAAATCTTGTCCTTTGTTAACAGAACACTTAGTTTCCAAAGCACCTGCAATCTCTGCTTTCATGATGACTAGTAAAACTCCTTGCTTTGCAAACACCAAAACTGTACCCAAGAGTCTTGCAAGAATTCTGAACAGAAATTCTTTGCAGAATTTTCTGAAACACAATATCCTATTGAGAATGCAAAAAGAGGAATATGCCAGGATTGTTTCAAGATAATACTAAAAGACATAAATTAACTACTACTATTGCTGAAACTCTGACAAATTAAGTTTTATCTCCACCACTGGAGGACCCCGATACACACAAGAGGTCAACTAGTTCACACACACAAAAATGGACAGTTTTTGTCCATATGTGACTGTGGAATTTTGAGCAGTGGATCTCTCAAGCCACTCATCCTGAGCTGCTAAACATTAAGGACAAGTAGTTGCCACAATACAGTTACTGTCTCATTCTTCGAATATATGTTACCTAAACCTAAAATAACAATTAAAAGATGCTGAGTATTTCACTTTTTAGTATAGCTGGAGCTCCCTCTACAGCCCCAATACTGTGCAAGAAGCCTATTGGAAGCATATACTGGCAATATTTAGCAGAACAATTCAGGTGTGCCAACAGACTTAAAGCAGTACTTTTGCTTTAAATTTGGACTCATTCAATTACATTGCTAGTAGTCCAGCACAGCAATGTGAAGTTTCAAACAATGCAATTACAGAAACTATTTGTTCTAGCTTAGACTGCTCTACAGAAGTTTACACAAAAATAACTTTTTAGACAAAATAGCTAAAAGTAGTAGTTCCATGTGCCTAGGCAATATTTCTGGTTGCTAAATACCAGGGGCACAATATTTCTGGTTGAAATGCATTTTGTTTGGTTGGGTTTTTTGCCCTATGTTAGCAGTCCCCACCCACTTCAGCTTTAATCATGCTATGTCTCAGTTATACTTCCCATCTAGCATATACTTCCAAAAGCAAGATCCAACTGTACCAGGGAATTGTATAATTGCATCACAGAATATGGAAAGCTTTTTCCTAACAGCTGATACAGCCAAGCCTACTTTTGGCAGAACTGCTTCTAGGTTGTGTGACAGAACCATTGTGTACTAGTGTTGGCAAAGGTAAATCTGTAGAGACTGTATTATGAAGTCAGGAATGCTTCACAGTTTCTCCCTACAACTACACTGCCTCTCAAAATGGCAAATGGCTCTTGGTACTTCTCGGGCATGTTTAATTTTTTTCCCCCTGGTAAATGATATAATCAAAGGATAGAACAATAATATTCTGTACTTTCCAATAAAGGTCCACAGTATAATACTTGGCTTTTAAAAATCTGCTGCTTACATTTTATGTGAACAGCCCAATTTAAAATGATAAATGAGACCGTAATCTCCCTTTCAAGAAACTGGAGAAAAAGCAGCTGAAAAGCTACACCAACCTGCAGCCCAATTCTTATTCAAACAGATCACCGAGCTAAATGGGAACTAACCCCAATTATGTATATACAGGAGAGTATCCTTAGTCTCATATTTTCAGTTCCCTCACATATCCTTATGGACAGCAACACAGAAAGGAAGAAACACAGTCAGGCAGTGACAACAGGTTATTTGAAAAATTATTTAAAGAGGCTCTAGAAGACTTAGTAATGGCTTGATATGTCCCCAAAATATAAAAAATATTGACTGCCTTTAACTTACCACCTGCTACATTAATGCATGGTCACATTTGCTATCTTACTTTGAAGTGCAAGAAAAACAGCAAAATGTAATGCTGTTAAAAACTATATATGGCTAGAAGGTAGCAAAAGTAGATTTCAAGGGGGGTGAACCTTCTTTTTCAGTGCAGACCTCTATCACAACTACAGTAGAAATCACTGTTCATGCATATGTATATCTATCTCAATATCCATATATTTGAAACCAGAGGTAATGTGGCATTTCAAAGCCTATTGTTACTAGATTCTATTATACTGTATGCAGAAATATGCACATTTAGCCTGTTGCAAAAGTGAATCTGCATGTCTGATTTATACATGCTGTTTGCCTTACAAACAGGTTTGAAACACACATTCATTCATCCAAGCACGCTGGGAGATATCCAATCAGTCACAATCAGAGTTGACCGTTTGTAACTTAAATGCATTGATTTCAGCGGGGCTACTCTGAGCATGTCTAGTATTAAATATCACCCACATAGCAGACAACTCCTAGGGGCCAAGCCCCCCCCCAATATTCGAGGGGACTGCCCCCCAAGTTGATGGGCATTCCCCCCCAATATTCGAGGGGATTGCCCCTCAAGTTGATGGGCATCCCCTCTTTTGTTCAAGTGGTCACCCCTAATGAGCCATTATAAACATGCTTCAAAACCACATCACTATGTCTGAGCTAACTGGGTAGCAACTGAACAGTAGACAACAACTCAGATATTAACTATTTACTCTGAACGCATCACAAAGAGATAGAGTAAAAAAAAAGAAATGTCATGTACAGGAGCTGGTTATGCAGATTGTTGTTGCATAAATAGGAACTAGTGCCGCCTACCTGTCTGCTCTGCTCTGTGTGTGCGCGGGGGCGGGAGGGGGGTGTCTGTAAAAACTGACAGTCACAAAAGCAACTCGATCTCCCCGCTGTGGCAGAAGAGGTCATTGAACTCAAGCCATGCTGTTTTCGGAGGCAGCCAGATCTGTCCGGCTAGTGTCAAATGTATTAAAGATGCGCAATGCTCAAGGCACAGTGTGCAACCCTTTCATTTCTGTTAAGTAGCCACTGGCGGGCTAAAAGACCAGCCGGCTCGCGCTCGCTCGCTCTCTCTCTCTCTCTCTCTCTCTCTCTCTCTCTCTCTCTCTCTCTCTCTCACACACACACACACACACACACACAAAAGCACACCACGTTTTAAGACCGGCGGCAGTTTCAGCTCCACTCCCCCCCCCCCACGTTCCAGCCACAACCAAGTCACCTAAATAAGCCGACCTTGGATCACCCCATCTCTCTTGGCTTACAAAAGCGGGCTCGGCCCCCTCCTCGGCCCCTCCGACTAGGCCTGCCTCGGGGGGGGGGGGAGAAAGAGAAAAGTGGGTCTCTGCCCCCTGGCGACCATGACTCCCGCGCCAAAGCCCAGCCCCGGAGAAGGGACGGGGAAAGCGGGCAGGAACCCTCGAGGATCGCGAGAGGGCGACAAGCCCGGCCTGCTCCGCAAAGCCCCGCACACAAAGGGGGTCCCAGGCAGCGGGAAGGAAGGGATGGCGGGGTGGGCAGCGAGGGAGGCGGAAACTGGGCGCGGCACCGCCGCCGCCGGGAGAGGGAGACGCGGCCCGACCCCCAACCACCCCCCAAACCGCCCTCACCTCGTCCTCCCGCTCGCTGCGGAAGCACAAGCACGCCGCCCGCTTCTTGAAGCCCTCCCGGTCGTAGGTCCGCGTCTGGTTGGGCTTGAACTTCATCATAGAGGCAGAAATAATAATGCCGCCGCCGCCTCCTCCGGTCCCCGGCACTGCGCCTAGTCCAGTCGCGGCGACGGCTGAGGCCCCGGCGCTCTCCCGCTTCGCTCTCCGGCCCGCTCCGAGGGGCGGCGGCGGCGGGGGGGCGAGAGTGAGTCCCGTCGTCAAGGGAGGGAGGGAGCGAGCGAGCGAGGGAGGAGGAGGAGGAGGAGGAAGAGACGACGACGCGCTTTTCCTCTCAGGGGGACCGAGCGCCGCGAGGAGCGGAGGCGCTGCCGGTGCCGCGGCCGCCCAGGAGGAGTCCACGCCGCGCCATGGAGACGCTCCGACTGCTGGCCCGCTGCCGCCTTCCCGCCGGCGCCTGTCCCGGAGCTGGAAGAAGCGCTGCGCTATCTCTTCGCCGCCCCGCCCGCCTCAGTCAGCCGCCCTCATCCGGCCTCCTGAAGCGCCGCCACTCGCCGCTCCTGCGGCCGCTGTACCACTATTTAACTGTAACGCGCATTCCTCCACCCGCCCGCAGCGGCCCGGCCTCCGCCGCTCACTACGCAGGCGCGGGGCCCGCCTCAGAGGAGGGGTTGGCGGGGAGAGGCGGGGCGAAGCGAGGAGGCTCCATGGGCTGATCTTGGGGGGAGGGGGTGCCCTAAGGCGAGGCAGCCTCCTCGGCCCCGATCCCCTCAGCCTAACGTGAAAGGAGGAGGGCCTAGCTGGTCCTGAGGCGGCTGGCTGCCTTACTTCCCTCGCGCAGTAACGCCCAAACTAGAGGCTTTTGCAATTTGGAAGCGGGAAAAGCGCCTCCCTTTCTTTTCAATGAGAGTTGCCCCCCCCCCAACCAACATGCCATATTTGTAGTGATGACTAGTTTAAACTCGCGCAAGCATTGACAAAAGAATTTCATAGTTTAGGGAGTGCGCACGGACAAGGCTCGATCCAGTTCAGTCCAGATGGCAGCCGCCCGGGCTGCGTACAGGCAACTCGATTACAGAGAATGGTGCGCATCTCCCATATCAGATCCTTCAGTATCTCAATGAATGGAAACTCCGAGGAATATGAGTGGCGTCTCCCGTTTCCTTAGATCCACTTGGTTCTCCGAGTGCCTCATTGTGTCAGTTGGGCAAGGGGGAGAAAACAGGTACCCAGGCGCTGGGAGTATCCCCCTGAATATAAAGTGCTACACCCGCAGCGTACTAGACTGGTTCCTGAGTTGGCGATGCAAAATGGTTGAAAATTTGAAGGCTGGACTGTAATGTGAAATTCTGGACCGTTTCAGTCAAGCAAAACTAGGATATGGGGACTCCTACCAAAGACCTCACATTAATATACCAACCCTGAACTTCACATGGAACACAGTAGCAATGGAGTGCAAAAGTGCACTTAGCCCTTGGGTTCTCCCAATAAGTGCCTGATAAATTCTGGACATGGTTCCATTATATTTTGAAGTAATACACATAGTCCAATATGGAATTATGATGTCATGAGGGTTCAAAAGCCTTTATAGTCAAAGCAAATATCTATACCCTGCGAGTTTTAGCTAAGATTACAAGTGAAGCAACATTTATCTGAGTGTACTATCAACAGGCTGCCTTTCCCTCCACCCCAATAGAGTCTGAAGATATGAAGACTAAACATTTACAGATGTATTTCTTTTTTAAAAAATCTTGCCTTATCTTAAGTGGTCACCTAAAGAAATACAAGGTTGTCTCCAAATAGTTTTACTCAGAATTGGCCCAATGAAATTAATAGATCTAAGTCATGTCCTTTAATATTAATAGGCTGCTCTGAGGGCTAACATTAGATACAGCCCATGGTGTTTAGCATTTCACTTTATTGCTGCATCACTGATGGAATAAGTATAACTACAGTTTATTAATGCACTATTAACTAGCTCTATTGTAGGTAACCTATGTGATTAATAGAAATGGAATATTCTGTGAGTTGTGACACAAGATAAATAGCAATCAAATAAAAGGGATGTCTGATTACTCTTACATCCTGACCCACATCCCTACAGAATTAATCAGAGCAAAACTTTCAGAATATGATCTGCTCAGACAGTGGTCATAAATGGAGGTCCCCATTGAAGTGTGTGCAGGAATGTCCTGTGAAGACTGAGTTTACCTCTACCTTTCTGTTTTTACTTTTTATATTGCATTTCCCCTTATATGATCACATTCCCCTTCTTGGCACTGAAGTAATAATGCCACACCAACCAAAGACTTTTTTGGAAATCATTCCTATATCTGAGGCTTGTCCAGAGTGTCTGTTTTGGCTAGCAGGAGCAAGTAGGAATGATGAAAGTAGCAGATAAAAAGGATAACTGTCTGGAGGAAAGATCCTAAAAACCAGCAGTTCCTTTTGTCTCTCCTATTACAGCTCCCTGCATTCTGCTAGGAACCTGGGAAAGTCCCTTTCTGGGCGTGTTTCAGATGTAGGCAATGGCAATAACTTTTACAAACTGAAGACGAAAACTACTGTTTTCAGTGCTCCATGACAGATGTTAGCATCTCTCTTATGGTTCTTTCCCCCACCCCCATGGATGGTTCTCCCAGGCACATTTGTACTGGAGCCAAGACTTATGCTACAAATCTAATTTTGCTGTCATTTCAAAACAAGAAGCAACCATGCTCTTTTGGCTCTTAGCCAAGCAATTCGTTGCATATTTGTGTGCGAGAGAGAGCTAAGGATAAGCAAAGTTGTTGCATTTGTTAAAAGTTCTAATGTGCAGATAGATTAGCTTGCTTCTTCAAGTGTACTGGAAACCTAACCTGTAGGGCTATATATATATATATATATATATATATATATATAGCTAGCCTAACCAAAATCAACCCAGATGAAGCCAATAAAATCAGACTTGAAGTCACCAACATCCTCTGCTCCAGCAAACCACCCAGAAGCAATTTACACAAAGAAGAACAGAAAGCACTCACCAACCTGAGGAAGGACAACAACATAATCATTCTCCCAGCAGACAAAGGTAATGCCACTGTTGTGATGAACACATCGGACTACCAAGCAAAACTATCAAATCTACTCCAAGACCCTACCTACCAACCTATAAAAACAGATCCCACCACCTATCTGGAAAAAACCACCAAATCCAAAATAAAAGCCTCTCCTATCAGTGAAGAAATCCAGCTAAGAATCATCCCCAGAGAAAAATCATCCAGATGCCCCAAACTCTACGGCCTCCCCAAGATACACAAAGAAGGAACACCACTCAGACCAATAGTCAGCTCCATAGGCTCACCTCTACAAAATCTCGCTAAATTTCTCGCTAAGCAACTTCAGCCCTATGCAGAATCCATCTCTTCACACGTTACAAACTCCTTCCAGTTCATAGAAACAATAAAGAAGCAAAACCTACATCCCAATGACCTACTTGTGAGCTTCGATGTTGTATCTCTCTTCACACAAGTGCCCATTAATGAAGCCTTGACAGCCATTCAAAACAAATACAATCCCCCCGAATACATCCTGGACCTGACCAAACACTGCCTAACCAACACGTACTTCATCCACAATGGACAAAGATACAAACAGATAGAAGGAGCACCTATGGGATCACCCCTCTCACCGGTCATCGCTAACCTGTACATGGAACACTTTGAAACCAATGCTTTAGACAAGTCAGAACACAAACCCAAACTTTGGCTCAGATATGTTGACGACACCTTTGTAATTTGGCCACACGGGAAGGAAAAACTAGATAGCTTCCTCACACATCTCAACAGCCTACACCCCAAAATACAATTCACTATGGAAATAGAAGCCAACAACCAACTCCCCTTCCTTGACGTCCTAATCTACAAAAAACCTGATGGCTCCCTAGGACACACTATCTACCGGAAAAAAACACACACCAACCGCTACTTACATGCACAATCACACCACCACCCTGCACAAATAAACTCCGTAGCCAAGACTCTCATCTCCAGAACCAAACGCCTGGCTGACAAAGACCACTTGACAACTGAGTTACAGAATCTCTCAAATGTGTTAATCGCCAATGGATACCAGCAAAACAGGGTTACGAAGCTAATCCAAAAAGAAACACCCCCCAAAAACCAAGACACAGAAGAAAACAATGGCATGGCCCTCCTTCCTTATATCAAGGGCACTACAGATAAAATTAGCAAAATCCTCCATAAACACAATATCAAAACAGCCTTTTGCACCAACCATAAAATAGCCAATATCCTCAGAAACCCCAAGGATAAAATCCAGTTGGAAAACCAAGGGGTCTATGAAATACCCTGCAAAGTCTGCCCAGCCACGTACATTGGACAAACAAACAGACGAATAAATGCACGCATCGCAGAACACAAGAATGCCGTCAAAAAAGAAGAAAAAACTTCCTCTCTTTTCCAACACATGAAAGAAACAGGACACGAAATTAATTTTGCAGACTCCAAATTGCTCTTTAACATGGAACATCACCACAAGAGAATAATCATGGAAGCCATCGAGATAGAGAAACACCCTCACAACATGAACAAGCGTGACGACACATCCCGCCTGCCAGACATCTGGAAATTAGCCCTCCCCACAAAAACCGACACCAGATCCAGAGGCACACAGAACGCCATCACCAATCAACCACACCAGACCCAAACCCAGACCCTCTCCACAGATAAATTACAGACACCATCCAGTAGCCAAACCATGTTGGCACCTCCGGATGCTGCACCCCCCTGCAATCCCTACACAGATCTGGCTGGCACAAGCCACAAAACCACATCTCGCCCCTATACACGAAGCCAAGCCAGAGCACAACTAAGTGCAGTACAGCCATCTTCTCAGAAAAACACGAAGGCTTTAGCAACTAATCCACACCTAATGACCCACCTAAGTGGTACTCAGGATATCACTCAAGAAATCACTCAAGATATCCCTCAAGTAATTAAGGAACAAAAGAAGAAAAGGCACACTAGCCTGGGAACTTCCTCTCTGCCCAGAACATTGGAGGCTATACACCACACCTCCTCAACAGTATTTATAGGAACTCAAACACTGAGATCCTGCTCTGTTCCAGTAACAAGAAGCCGAAAGCACCAGCCTGAAGATGACGAGTGAGACCTCGTCGAAACGTCGCCTAGACACCCCAACTTTTACACGGGAAGACACCCGAGGACACCAAAACCTGCATATATATATATATATATATATATATATATATATATGGGTTGTCCTGGGTCTCTGGGTTGTCCTGGTTTGAAATCCTGGTACCCTAACTTTCATTATGTATGTATGACTGCCATGAGGTTGTAGCGTCCAGTTATCTCCTGTCCTGACAGTGATGAATGCTCATGTAAATGTTCTCCAGTGACAGAAACTAGATCCCAGGCTGTTTGTCCATACTCCAAGTGATGTAAAATAGAATGTGGTGCAACTTCTGTATAATAAACAGTCCATGTTTTGGATATGCAGTAACATCTCCGTGGCACCTTTTCTGCCTT